AAACCCAATCAAATCACTGAGTGCATTATATCTAAGTGGACTAGACAATCTAATAAAAGAGCAATTACTGCCAGACTGGATTAAAATGTGAGACCCAATTATATGATGTTTATGAGACACTTTAAATATGAAGACACAAACAAGCTAAAAGAAAAAGAATAGAAAAGGACAACCGTGTAATGATTAATTGTGAAAACAGAGTGGGGCTATATTATCAGACGAATTCAAGAACAGTACTAGGGATAAAGGGGAACATTACATAATGACAAGAAAGTCAGTTCAGTAAGAAGACGTACAATTCCTGAATGTGTATACACCCAATAATAGGCTTGGAAATGCACGCTTCAAAACTGACAGAACTGAAAGGAGAAACAGACAAATCTACAATCAGAGTCGAGGAGGTTTACCCTCTTCTCCCAAGAACTGATAGATGTTATATAAATATATAAAATATAAAACATCAGAGTGGGGAGGATATAGCTCAAATGGTAGGGTGCTTGCTTAGCATCCACAAGGCCCTGGGTTCAATTCCCAGTACCTCCTCTAAACAAATAAAATATAAAACATCAGGAAAGATAGAGGATTATCAGCAAACTTAACATAACTGGCATTTTATCAAACACTAATCAGCAATTGCAGAGTATGTATTATTTTCAAATGTACATGGAACAGTCAATAACACATTTCAACACACATCTCAATAAGTATTTCAAAGGATTATAATCATAAGGGGGTATTCTTTGACAATAAAAGAATTAAAATAAAAATCAAGAACAAAAAAGATCTCTGGCCAATTCAAATATTTTGAAATTAAGCCAACATTTCTAAATAACCCATGAATCAAAGAAGATACCACAAGAAAATAAGAAAATATTTTGACTTGATGATAAAACCACCACGTTTGTGAGATTCAGCTAAAAAAGTATTTAGAGTAAAATTGATGGTTAAAATCGATTAAGCCTCCATCTTAAGAAACTAGAAAGAATAAATTATACACATAGTAAATAAGAAGAAATGATTGAGTGTAATAAAAAGTAATGAGTAATACTTTTAATAATAATAACCAGTCAAATAAAAAGTAGACAAACAATTGAGAAAGTCAACAAAACCAAAAGTTTTCTTTGCAAAGAGTAACAAAATAGATAGACACCCCCACCCCCACCCCAAGTAGGCTAATCAGGAAAAAGAGAAACAAGACAAGCCACCAGTGCCAGGAGTGAGAGGGAGGACACCGCTGCAGACTCTGCAGTCACTGGGAGACAAATGAAAGACTGTGTCTAACGATCTCATGTCCATAAACTAGAAAATTTAAGTTAAACTGATAAATTCTTTAAAAGACACAAACTGTAAAAGTAATAAAATAAGTATAAGATATGAATAACTCTATATCCGCTAAAGAAATTAAATTTGTAATTAAGAGCTTTGCCACAGAAAAGTCCAGGTCCACATGACTTCGCTTGTGAATTCTGTCAAATATTTAAGGAAGAAGTAATACCAATATTATACAAATTTTTCAGAACATTGTGGAGGAGGGAACAGTTTTAAACGCATGTTATGAGTCCTACGTAACTCTAATAAGGAGTTGTGGACATTAAGTACATTACAAGGACATTGCAAGGGAAGAATTACAGATCCATATCCCTCCTGTGCCTATAAGCAACATGTCTTAAATTAAAGAAATTTAATGTATAAAAAGGATATAATACATCATTACCAAGTAGAGTTTATTCTAGCTATGCAAGATTTGTTTAACATTAGAAAGATTGCAAGATAAGAGGTCGATATACAAAAATCAACTGAATTTATATAAAAGAGCAACAAACAGTTGGGAAAAAATGAAAACTTCAATATCATTTACCTAGCACCCACAAAATTAAATACCTAAGGATAAAGATAATGAAATCTATTTAAGACTTTTATGTAGAAAGCTAGAAAACCCTGCTGAGAAATATTAAAGATCTAAATAAATAGATATTTCATGTTCAAGGATGGGAAGATTCAGCATTGTTAAGATGTCAGGTCCCCCCACTTAATCTAGAGAAAAATATCACAATTACCATCCCAGTAGGCTTTTTTGGGGGGAGGGTATAAATTGACAAGCTAATTCTAAAATTTATGTGGAAATGCAGAGGTCTTAGAATAATCAACTAATCTTGAAAAAGTACATAGTTGGTTGACTTACACCACCTGATTTCAAATCTTACTATAAAGCTACAGTAATCAAGATAATGTGGTGTTGGTATAAGAATAAATACACAGATCAATGGAACAGATTGGGGAATCCAGAACTAGATCCAAGTATAAATGGCCAATTAAGTTTTTATATCAAAACTAAGGCAATTCAATAAGGAAAGAAAAATCTTTTTTTTTAAGTGCCAGAATAATTGGGTATTTATATGGGGGAAAGAATGAATCTTGATGCCACCTTACGATATACCCCCAAATTGGTTCACTATAGATCATAGGCCTAAATTTAAAGGCTAAAACTATAAAGCTTCCAGAAAAGACATAAGAGAATATCACCCCTAATTTGAGAAAGGCAAAGATTTCTTAGAAAAGACACAGGAAGCACTAGCCATAACAGAAAAATGTGATAAATTGGATCTTATAAAAAAGTTACAGCTTTTCCTCATTGAAAATACCATTTAAAAAGTCAATGGGAAATCCATATGGTAGACGAAAACATTTGCTTCTACAATCTGACAAAGAATCTAGACTATATAAAGAACTCCTACAACCTAATAATAAGCCAATCAATTGTGAATAATTTCTATTCCCTATTATTTTAAAAAATCATAGCTGGTACTATAACCAGATGCTCAGTAACTTCAGACCCCACTGTGTATCTTCTCTCTTCTCCTGGTTCAGCAGGAAGTGGGTAGGGAGCGTGCCAGTTCTTATTTAGGGTTCGTTGACCTTTGAGTTCTTGTAAAGCTCATTTTGAGAGGCAAATATCTGGCTAATTTAAGGCTGTCAGCAGCTGGGAATCTCTGTCTACGGGTATGCATCTCTGTGTTGCCAAGGAGAGAAAGAAACTTCTTGTGGCAGCTGGAGTAGTAAGTGGCTCCTGTGTACCAAGTCCTGCACGTTAGAAACTTACTCCCATAATTATACTTACAGAGCAGATCCTTTGAGTATTCTTAGAGCTTTGAGGAAGGAGATAGTCACTGGAAATTACCAGGGTTGGTGAGCTAGAAGATGGCCTGGGAGCCATCGTGTGGCGTATTCAAATAAATCTCCCTGCTGAGGAGCCTCTTGTTAATCCATCGATTCATCTATCTATCTATCTATCTATCTATCTATCTATCTATCTATCTATCTATCTATCTACCTACCTACCTATCTACCTATATACCTGTCTTCTTGACCGCACTTTCATAGATCCTGGGCATTTTCACGTTTTGCATAAGCTAGACTGCATGTAGCTGGATGCACTTACATGGTAGTCAGCCCAGCTTGCTGAATAGCAGACCTAAGGCACAGCTCACCGTGGGCTGATCCTCACTTTGTGATTAAGCTCTTACTTGCTGGGTGACACTGGAGAAAAAAGCATCCACTCATTCGTTCCCACATGCCTGAACCTTACTCCATCCATGCAAAAACAAATTATGGAATCCTGTCCTAATGTGGGACAGAGGACATCTCTAGTTTATTCTTAATTGTCCTTCTTGCAAATTTTTATTTTCCTTTCTAATTTGTCATGTGAGAAAAGTTAAATTAGCCTGAACATGTGGGAACAGACTAATTTTGAGCTCTTCACTTCCTTCTCTTAGGCATTTAAACAGTTCTATTTTTTGGAGAAAATTTGTTTGGCAAGTCGAAGAAAAGATATGAAGTCTGGGGGATGGGTGAGGTAGGTTTTTAAAGATAGAAGTACCAGAGCTGCCATCTGAGGTCTCAAATTAGGATGGGAAGCACATTCTCTACAGCTATATCTTACCATAATTGAAAGTTTAAAACAGAGTGGATTTGATTTGAATCGAGAGACTGCAATTAAATTTATTTTTCTAAGAAGTGCACTCTTAGTACATAATATAGCCTTAATGCTTGCTCTTCACAACTAACTTGGAGAACAGGGTATATTTCATTGTGCATATATTTCATTTTAAACAGTATGTTTCATTTTAATGTAAAAA